ATATTTGAGTTCATAATTTGCAGCAGATCCTACTTTAAATAATATAATATTATTTGATAGCGTAAAACATTGTTTTGATAGTTTTTTGGACAAAAAAGTGAACCCTGTCGTACACCTTTGGAAGGCATCACTAAATAGTTCATAGCACAGGCCCTGGGGACCTTTTTCATTTTTTAAAAATATCTCATGGGTCGTGTCTTAGGGAGCTACAAATATAACCCAGTAATGGTTAAATTGCTTTGTGGGCAAAATTCTTTTGTTCCTGTAACAGGTCCTTTATGGAAATTAGCCTTGTGTCACCCAAATTTTCTTGACAATATCGGATATATAATGAAATTGATTGTATCTATACGTGTAAGTAACATACAACTTTTATGTCATCATTGTGGCTATTTCTGCACAGATTTTGTATCTCATGTGATTCTGCATTGTTCTGTAACAGAAAATCTTCGTGACAATCAAGTATTGAACTCAGTTTATATCTGCATTCACTGCCTGACTATTCAGTAATTCACATTTTACTAGGAGACCCAATGACCTACAATTTAAATGAAATTGATTTGAAGAATTTAGACTAGAATTTGAATATATACATAATAATAATTATAATGTCTTACAAATACTTGCCTTTTTAATATAAGGAAAATGTAAAAAAAAAAAAATCGAACATAGGCAAGGTTTTATTATTATTATTTTTATTTTTTATTTTTTCTACTGGCTACATAAACCAGTATTATATCACTGATATTTAACAATAAGTATATACGTTTGTGAATTTGTATGAATGTCACGATTGTAGCTTGTAAATAATGTATTATTCATGTACTATCATTGTATCATGCTCTCCAATTTGGAGGAAATAAAGATGATATATAGGTTGATTCTAACAAGTGAACGTTTCAATATTGTATATTTTAGACATGTTTACAATAAATGATTCGATATCTCAACTCATTTGGATATTTTGCGAATTCGTGAATTGGAATGTTATTGGGATTACCACCTATATGACATCACCAGCATGTACGACAGGAAGCTACAAGTGGACACTGCCATCCTGGATTTCAGTAAGGCCTTCGACAAGGTTCCCCATTCAAAACTCCTGTATAAACTAGAGAATTTCGGTGTGAACCCCGACATCCTACAATGGATCATGATCAAGGCCTTCCTGACATCACGGACCCAACGAGTACTTGTAAACGGCAGCCATTCAACACGAGTGAAGGTAGATTCAGGGGTTCTCCAGGGGACGGCCCTGGGACCTATACTCTTCCTCTGCCACATCAATGACTTGCCCGACTGCGTAACATCTACTGTACGGCCGGTATGTCCAACTGTCGGGCCAATTACTCAAAGAAATGGAAAAAAATTCCATACTTGGGGGTGACCATTCACAACTCTATGAAGTGGGACTCTCATATCCGTATCACAACCAACAAGGCAAATTCCACTCTCGGATTCCTAAGACGAAACCTGCGAAAGTGCCCAGCATCACTGAAATTGACCGCATACAAATCTTTGGTGAGATCCGTCCTGGAATACAGCTGCACGATATGGGACCCTTATATTACCAGCAAAACAACATCCACTCGCTGGAAAAGGTACAACGCCGGGCTGCCCGATTTATAACAGGGACAGCAGTGTAACAGAAATGATGGACACTCTAAAACTAGCACCACTAAAGGATCGCAGGCGAGACCATCGGCTTGCCCTTTTTATAAGATCGTGAAGGGGCTAGTGGCCATACCTGTAGATCACATATTGACTCTATCAAACACCCGTACCAGATCAAAAAATGGTGAAAATTACCGACATTTCCAGTGTAATACGGACATATTGAAAAATTCATTTTTTCCTCGAACAACAACAGAGTGGAATAACCTACCAGAAGACCTCGTCAAAATGCAAGAACTTAAAAGCTTCAAGACAGCACTACAAACTGAAACAATATAAACTATAAGCGCACTCCTCCAACCCTGGAATTTACACTCAAATTTGGGGTCTTCCAGTAATATACAGATACAGACAGACGAAATGCCTCGATATAATTCTGCCAACTGACTTTACTGACTCAGCACATTGTGGCTTAATGAGAAGTTTTCGGCGTTATTTGCTAAATAAATTTCCAAATACTATTTGTATTGATTAAGCATATATTATTCATACCAAAACAGATGAATCTCATTCCAAATATGTCGATGATTATTATAATACATTTAACCACGGACTAAGATAATCTAATTTCAGGGTTAATTGTTGTACCACTTACATAAAGACAAATATGTTACATAACATTTCAGTATAATTTTATTTTCGATCATGGAATATTTGGTATCGAAATTGTATGTGAAATGCGTCAATGTACCTTTTTATGTGTTCATTATTGTTTTCGCGTCATCAACTAGATGTTTTCGGTATCCTACTTTTCCGGATTTGTTAGAAAATTACTTTATATTTAGTCGCGCATATTGGATGTTCGGAAGTACTCTGATGACATCCTTTCTCGTATGGTCATAAACGAGATAATCGAAAAAAGATTAAGTCACTTCCGGAAACTTGTCTGCAGTATCTTTTCAGCATAAATTATTGAATATTTTATTGATTAACCGCTTGCAGCCCGAAAATGTCGGACAGAAAAGCAGAGCTCGAGCGCAAAAAAGCAAAGCTCGAACAGATGCGTAAGGAAAGACAAGAGAAAGATAGGATTAAAAAGCTTAAAGAGGTAAGATCTACGACAAAGTGTCGGACCAGCCCAACATTTGACATCGATGAAATGAATCATCAAATGTTTTGCTATTTGTGAATAAATGATGGTCGACTCTATTGGATATTCATTTACATCACACCACTTTGTATTTGTGACCAAATTGCTGTCTTACTACTGCAGTGAGCTTTTGACAGCGAGGTATTTACCTTTAATCCTTAGGATTATAATTAATGCTCTCATAAATCTATGTATCTGTCAGCAAAATTAAGCTAGTCATCTTAAGTTTTATGACGAAGAACATCCATTCTTAAATTCAAATGTTTCTAGTCATAATAAAATGATAACATACAAGAAGCACGGATTTTATTATTTTGCAGGTACCAGATGAAAATGTACAGAAGAAAGCTCCAACAGGAGATATTCACAAAGAAACTGAAGACCTGCTGAGAGATCTTGGAATTCCCCCTGCTGGTATGCATGTGTCTAACATACACAGCCTATATTCTTTCAGCGACATTATTAGGGAGATCTTCATAGCAAAATACAAATCACAAAACAAAAAATCACTTAAATAATAATCACATTATTACACTTCACTCCCTCCCCTTATAGTCCATATCATTATTGATGGCGGATGCCCTATATATGAAGATCAGAAATTAAGCCCATTTGATATTCTATAACAGCTAACATTGCCCCAGTTTACAACCCTGAAAACTACTGTCCCATATCTCTCACTTGTATTTGTTGTAAGTTGTTGGAAAATATTAAAGTAAGTAACATTATGAATCATGCTGATATAACAATAACATTCTTTACCCCTTACATTGAACATGGTTTCAGACAATCCAGGTCATGTGAGAGTCAACTGTTCTCTCCTTATCCACAAACTTAGGGGGTATGGAATTACTGGACCAGTCAACACTTGGATTGAAAGCTTCCTAAGTGACAGAACCTAGACTGTTGTAGTAGAGGGGGAAATGTCCGATTCTGCCCCAGTAATATAAGATCAGGGGTCCCCCAAGGCTCGGTCCTCGGCCCGAGTCTTTTCTTATACTACATCAATGATATTACTGAGGGTATAACATTTTTTATCAGACTCTTTGAAGATAATACCATCATGTATCTGACAGTAACATCTCAGAGATAGGCTCACACCCTGCAAAGAGATCTTGATAAACTGGCACTTTGGGAGACTAAATGGAGGTTGGCTTTCCATCCTGAGAAATGCCAGGTCCTCTCTGTCACAAGGAATAGACGTCCCATCTGTCATCCCTATACATACTACATGGTCACAAGTTGGAGCATGTGACAGAGGCTAAATATCTTGGGGTCAACGTTACTTCTGATCTTAAGTGGAATACTCATATCAATAACTTCACAAAAAAGGCCAATTAATATTCCACTCGGGATTTCCTGAGGCGCAATCTCAAAATTTCATCCTCTTACATCAAACAAAAGGCCTATAAGTCCCTGGTCCGCCCTCAGGTTGAATAAACTAGCCCAGTATGGGACCCTTACTTAAAAAAGATATAGACAAGCTAGAGATGGTATTGTGCAGGGCTGCCCGTTTCGTTGTCAACCGCTTTCGTAACACCTCCGGCATTGGCAACATGTTAGAACACCTAAAATGGCGTAGCCTTGCAGATCGCAGGAAAGACGCGAGGCTGACCATGCTCTATAAAATCTATCATAATAAAGTTGCCATTATTAATAAACATCTCGCCCCTATAACCATACAAACAAGGCATAGTCATCAAACCTCATTTCAAACTATCTCATGCAGGACGTCTGTAAGGAAGGAATCCTTCTATCCTCGAACTATCAAAGATTGGAACAAACTCCCTTCTCAAATTATTTCTTCTGATTCACTACTGTCCTTCAAATCATCTCTCTCTATCTCTGTTCATCAATATTAAGTCCTGTTCCTTTCCTTTCATAGCGCTACACCTATATATGAAGTAAAAGTAGAAGCAAATCACTGTTGTGGTTGTTCACTAAATTATGACAGTTGTATGAACCTCCCTATATGTAAATGATTCGCCATTTAATTCCCACCTCATTGGTAGTGTAGAATAGCACACATCAATGTCAACGTCTCAAAAAGGAAGCTCATTTTTGAAACAAACAAAAACATAATTATCAGCCATTAAATTGACATCTAACTATCAAAAATGTATGCAGTTGTTTAGTGCTGTTGACTTTGAAAACATTGATATGTACATGAGAACAAATAAAGAGGTCAAGAATACAGGATGGGCAATGGTATTTTTTCACATGATATCTTTTTGCATTGGTTATATATATGTTGTACTGCTTTAGGAAATATCAAATACAAAGCATTAAATTGGAACGTTAACCTCTGTGATACTACAGATTACATCAGGTAGTAATTATTATATATAACTACCTCCTGATGTTTATACAACATCAACAACATTTATAAGGTTTGCCAAATTGCCAGTTTCAATAAAATTGGTCTTTACATACATGTATATATATATAGTATATATATATGGGATTTGCCAAAACACATACTACAGTACATGTTCGGCAGTCTAAATAAAAATGGCAGGTTGGGGGGGGGGGGGATCTGTTTTAAGAAGTTGATTGGCAAATGTTATACATTCAGTAGAAAAATTGTATTAATAGCACTGTTTAGAACTTAAGTATTTAGAATCAGTTGTATTATTATAACAACACCATTGTATGTCACCAAAATTAGGCAGTTACTAAGAATGTAATGGTATTTTGTTAAATGTGACAATCACGTATTAAGAATTTTGTTTGAATGATATCCCGAAATATCTAGATGTGACGCATATTTCAACATGTAAAGTTTTATGAATTGTCTGACTGTTTGCTGAAAGATTAACACATGTGTGCACAATTTGTATCACCTGTGTTTTTATATAATTAGCTCACCTGCCCGAAGGGCAAGTGAGCTTAGGTAGCAGTATACAGTAGAAATTGCCCGACTCTGATAAACAAGCTTAAGGCACATGTTGAGGAAATGTAAACACAGCGGATTTACCCTACACAACACATGTATACATGTATATATATTTGTAAACTGCATTACATTTACAATACATATAAAGTACTGAGAAGTGTATAAACCTCTTTTTTTCTATGTATGTCACTTGTGTGAAAACCATGGTTATCATATCAAAAATTACCAAAACATGCCAAAAATTGCTATTTTTGACCCAAAATTTTTTGCAATTTTGGGTCGTGTGCTGTTGTCAAAATTTTACCTCCTGTAAAGCTAGCTTTTCATGTGTAGGCATGTGTTTTACAAATGTGAAGCTCACTGTGATAGCCCACTTCATCATGCTTATACCAATTTTAGTACAGTTTTATTTTTATATTTTTTTTACATATCATTATACAGGGGTTAGCCATTTAACAAAAATATCACCCATGGCCACAACCCCCTACTGTATACTGCTACCTTATGCATGCCATGGTGCGACGTCTGTTTGTCTGGCATCAACTTTTTACTTTACACAACTTCTTTTCAGTAACCAAAAGGCCTTGGATGATGATATTTGGCCAGTAGCATGCTGGAATCAAGGGCTACCAATGCAAGTTTGTTCAAATGAATGACCTTCATTCCTTTTCAAGGTCAAAGGGGTCAAATATGTTAAAATCTTTTGAACAATTTCTCCTGAATACCCAAGAGGCCTAGAATAGTATCATGCTCAGATGAAGGGCTACCAAGTTTGTTCAAACAAATGACCTTCGCCCATTTTCAAGGTCACAGGGGTCAAATATATTTAAAACATTTAAACGACTTCTTCTGAATTACAATGAGGGCTAGGGTTATGATATTTTGCCAGTTAGATGCTGGGATGAAGGACTACCAAGTTTGTTCAAATGAATGACCTTCGCTCATATTCAAGGTCACAGGGATCAAATACATTTAAAACATTTAAACGACTTCTTCTGAATTACAATGAGGGCTAGGGTTATGATATTTTGCCAGTTAGATGCTGGGATGAAGGGCTACCAAGTTTGTTCAAATGAATGACCTTCGCTCATATTCAAGGTCACAGGGATCAAACATATTAAAAACCTTTAAACAATTTCTTCTCAATAACCAAAAGGTCTAGGATGATGATATTTTGTCAGTAGCATGTTGGGATAAAGGGCTACCAATTTTGTTCAAACAAATGAACTTCACCCATTTGTAAGGTCACAGGGGTCAAATATGTTTAAAACCTTAAAAAGCTTCTGCATTCCCCTGAGGCCTAGGATAATGATAATTGGCCAATAGCATGCTAATGAAGATAAAGGGCTACCAAGTTTGTTCTAACGAATGACCTTCACCCATTTTCAAGGTCACAGGGGTCAAATACATTTAAAACATTTAAACAACTTCTTCTGAATTACAATGAGGGCTAGGGTTATGATATTTTGCCAGTTAGATGCTGAGATGAAGGGCTACCAAGTTTCAAGGTCACAGGGATCAAATATGTTTTATTCAAAGGTCCAGGGTAATGATATTTGGCCAGAAGCATGCTGGGACAGAAGGCTATAAACTCTGTTCAACTTAATGTCCTCGTTCGACTCTCAAGGTCACAGGCGTCATATGTTTAAATCATTTAATAGATTCTAATGAAACGAACACAGATATTTTTCCTGTAGTTGTATATTAGTCCACTTTTAAGATAACAAGTGTGAGATTAATACCAGGTGAGCGATTCAGGCCCATTGGGCCTCTTGTTTGTGTTTGACAAAAGTGTCAGGTAGCTTATCATGGAGTGTATATGATAAAACTGTTTTCAAATTCAGGTGCTACCCCTGCTACTGTGCCCAGTGAAGCAGCAAAGACAAATTCTGGACAGAAAGACCAGGAATCAACACCTCCACAGCCTCCACAGACATTGTACTTATCTGTTGTATAGTAACCAACATCAATAGATATTAAATAAGCTTTCATTTCATATCCATTGTAAAAAATAAATTGGCTGGTTTCTGTTTCTGAAATTATTTTGGGAACTAAAATTAAAAAAAGTTTAAGGACAGTGCTCTGGTACATTGACACGAATTGCAGGGAAAATCTCATTTTGAATTTGATTTTACAAGCTTTAATAAGTACTGTTCCACAGAGATGGAATTAAAACTTTCATGGGAAATTTTCTTAGTGTAGCTTTTTTATTCATGTACTGCCATATGTTTTATAGTAATTAATAGGTATTCATGATATACTGGACTAAGTTATTTATATATACCCAATCAGTATCAACGTGATAAATTATATATCTAAAAGCTTTAATAGAGAGTTTATGTAAAATTATGTATAAACATTGTCGTTGCCATAAAATCATTTTTTTTATTTTTCAGATCCATGAGACCCAAAATGAGATTGAGTGTAGCCAAAGTTTCAGAAACTAGCATCCCCCCTCGTGAGAATGTCATGTACAACAAAGAAACTCAGACCACCATCGTGGAACCCCTAGATAAGGAAGGCAAGTACATAGTAGGCATTGTTGCACATCCATATCTAGACATAGACACTGTATGTGTATTTTGAGTAGTGTACTTCTTTTAAGGTGGTGTAATAGCTTCTGATATACAAACCCTCTATGTAAACATGTATAGGGTCCAATAAGATCAAAGGAGCAAACTAGCATGTTATCTGGATCATAAACTTCAGAAAATCATTCAAAATTGAATTATAAGGTTAATCTTTTGTAAATTGAATTTCCCATTTGTGGCTGATTTGAGTCTGGTCGATTGGTTAGAGCCTTGTGCATTTATTATTCGAGTGTATATCCATTTGTATCTTTCACTTCTGATATAAAGGAATTGAAATGTGTGGAAAAGATGGTAATGCACACATCAATACAAGCTTAACCACTAGATCTGTGATTATTATTAGCCTGTATAGATTTGAAAACCTCTGTCTCTGTGTTTTCATGTTTTAAAGAAATACTGTACTTACTTCAAACTTCATTCCAAACCTAAAATAACAATTGTGTGCTTATATACTAATAAAGGTACCTGGACAAGTAAAAATAAAAATTGTGTACTGATATCCTAATGTAGGTACCTGAACAAGTAAAAATAAAATTGTGTACTGATTTACTAATATAGGTACCTTAACAAGTAAAAATAACAATTGTGTACTGATATCCTAATGTAGGTACCTGAACAAGTAAAAATAAAAATTGTGTACTGATATACTAATATAGGTACCTTAACAAGTAAAAATAACAATTGTGTGCTGATATACTAATGTAGGTACCTTAACAAGTAAAAATAAAAATTGTGTACTGATATACTAATGTAGGTACCTTAACAAGTAAAAATAACGATTGTGTGCAGATATACTAATGTAGGTACCTTAACAAGTAAAAATAACGATTGTGTGCAGATATACTAATGTAGGTACCTTAACAAGTAAAAATAACAATTGTGTGCTGATATACTAATGTAGGTACCTTAACAAGTAAAAATAACGATTGTGTGCAGATATACTAATGTAGGTACCTTAACAAGTAAAAATAACAATTGTGTGCTGATATACTAATATAGGTACCTGAACAAGTAAAAATAAAAATTGTGTGCTGATATACTAATGTAGGTACCTTAACAAGTAAATTGAGTTGTCCTTAAAACTAGCATTTTTTCTTTGGAACATTTTTGTAGTTTACAAAATTGATGTACATGTATCAAAGTGCTGTCTTTTTAGCTGCATCTCTTGTGTGAGAATTATTTATAATGGTTGTCTGCCAGTATACAATTCCTAGAATGTTGTATTAACGAACACTAAAAAACCTAGATTATTTCCGACCTACATTAATGTAGGTCTTCTTTCTTATGTGTTTATATGTTCATTATGTTATTAGTGATATGCAGGTTATATGTATTTGTCCAAATATTGAACTTTGACCTTGTATCCTGCATCTTGTGAAGAAAATGGTTTCTAGTTGATTTTTTATCTTCATTTCTTTCAACAAATATTTTTTGTTTATAAGTAGCCATTTTTACAACAGTCTAGTGATTTTAACTAACAATTTAAACAGTTCTGATGGTGTACATTTGTGTTCAAATAAATAATGTGAACTGTGACATTGCATCCTTAATTAGGACACAAGCATGGTGGTAAGTGTAAAAACAGTTTAGTGATATATACCGTACAACTATTGTATATAGATCATTAGTGAATCACTTATATTTAAAAAAAAAAAGACACTGAGCTTTGCACCTGTAAAATGTTTATAACAATCAGATTACCTTCAATTTTATAGAATACATCAAAATTGCAGATTTTGGTATCAAAAAGTAGTATACATTATTTTTTTTTGAAAAAATCAAGTGAAAATAAGTGGAATATTTACATGGAGTTTTACAATAATAAGTAAGATTTATAAAAGTTATGATTGGTAATATTCATGAGAAATTGGCTATAATAGATTTCATTTTTCTGAATGTATCTAATGAAACATTCAATGAGGTTCAATCTTGATATAAGTGATTTACACAAGCCTGTAACCAACTTAATATTATATATATACTTCTTATTTAGTTTACTGTGTATGTATATTTATTTATTTTCCTTTTCTTTTTTTACACACAAAATAAACTCATAAATTACACTGACACACATACAGAATGTAAAATTCTGCAGACATACACATTTGACGTAAATAACTTGAAATTCTATTGACATACATTAACGACTTGAAATTAAAACAAGTAACATTAACATCTCCTCATTTTGGCCATCATGTTATTTAATTTTTTTTTTTTTAGCACATTGGTAACTATAACGTTAGCCCCAACATCATGATGTTATTAGATGATGTCTATAAATGCTATTTTGATCTGTCCAAATTTTGTTAAGTCATGGAGATTACATCGGCATGTAGTGAATTCTGATTGACACTTTCTCTATAAATACTGCATAAATATAGTAGTATAGTTACATATCGATTACCAGTACTTCTCATTCTCTGTACTCGATACTTTGACAGGTTCATATTTATCCTACTATATATACCTGGTCTATTTATTTCCCAGTAGTTACTGTGTATGTATACTTTACCATTGCATGTGGTGGATATCAGAGATATATTCACAGTTTAATTAGACATAGATCTATATAAGCATAAAATCACAAGAACTATAATCACTCTCTCAGTCATAGCTTGACAAAGGGATAAGTGGGTCCTGAAACCATGCGAAATGGTTAATACATACATTGTTTGTGTATAAAGTTTAACTTTGATTTTAAATAATTCCAAACTGAAGAATCTTGTTGAAGATACAACTACTACAGTTTCTTCTCCAAAACATAACTGTGTTTAATACTTAGCAAAAAAACCAAAAGATGTGTGTTTCTGTCTACATTATGTAAACAACTGATCCATCTTCAGCTGGTATTCAACACTTAATAACAATTATTTGATGAGTTGAAAAAAAGCTGAGTTCATTTCGTAGGTTATTCGATTTGTTCTTCCCCATTGTGTTCACCTTTTTCCTTGTTGATTTCCACTCTACCTTGTACCTCTAGACACAGCTTTCCTTGTGCATCTAAGTAAAGTATATAGTTTATGTATCTTCCAGAAGATTTGTTTATTTTTGTTCCTGTACATACAGACTGCATGAACGTGTATACTGTTGTGTGACAATTGCTGTTACAACATTTTGTTTTCTGCTGTTAATCCTGATGTAGTATACACGAATAACAAACAATGTCTGTCCAGATTTTTAATACAGAGCTGAGTGCAGTCACAATAATTCTCCAAAACGTGATATATTATCACTATTCCAAGTATTGTTTATTTATAAGGTTAAGTTCAATTATGTGATACAGGTATACATTTTAGTTTATGAAATGAAATATCTGACAGTGTGTTTAGAAACTAAGCTAAATTATAGTTTTTGCATACCAAAGTAAAAAGAAAGTTTAACATTGATAGTAAATTAGGTACCCATTCTTACATTTTATTTGTAAAAAGAAACTATTGTATACAAAAAAAATCAGGAAAAAATGATTTATGCTTATTTTAAAACCACTATTATTTATTTTATTTGCCACCTAAAATTGACTTGTTTCTGTTAATGCTATCGCTAGTGAGAGGTCCGTGGGATTATTACGGTAAGTGTAGTTCCTCAAGTGAAATCATAACCCTTCCACAGGCCCCACGGTAATCCCAAGACCATGACAATGTTGTCATCACGATGGAAGTATTTTCATCAAGACTCAGTTTTGTTTGGTTACTGTTTTCTTACTTTTTTCTGATTTATACAAGCTGGCATACCATATGTAAACTTATTTTTATTTTTTGTTTATTTTGTTACAATGGAATATTCTTTAGTTTTTTTGTGCTGGATACGTTTTGTTTAGTTGTTTTTGGAAGTCACCTGATTTAAGTTTCTATCCCTGATTTATCTCCTACCATATAAGTCCTACCTTTAGTGTTGTTGCTATTCTGGTACACATACACCTGTGGACATACACTCCTACCTGTATACATTCAATGCATGACCAAAGATATCAGTTGAATTAATTTCTGACAATAATTTTTTCTCACTGATGTACTCCTATTTGTATAATAATTCATTGTTACCTTATTTTGAAATTGTTTGGTTATTAATCACCTCTGTTATTTAGCCTTGCCTTAATTGACAGTTTGAATTTCTCATGATAACTTGCTTACAAGAAATCCTGTTCTATTCCATTCTGTTTAACATTCAGTTGCTTCTTTTCTTTAGTTTTATTTTGTGTAAGGATTAATCATTAAAGCAGTCCAACATAAATAAGATAATTTACTTAGTATTGGCAAAAGAACAATGCATTTAGGTATCATTTCCTTCGTTCATTAACAGAAAGATTGGTGAGAGGAATCAAAGAGCATAGATAGATACAAAGTATAATTTAACAACACCAGTATATAAGATTGTAAAAGGAAATATTTTTATCACTTGGATCTTGTGTATACATTTTATATACAGGAATATGTCGAAGGTACATTTTCAACTTCTTAAATGTTATTTTTCCATCCTCTATGATAGAAAGTTGATTCCAGTGGGAAAGTGATACCAGAACAATAGAAATACAGCTCCAGTACACAGATAAACCTATCATTCCAGTACTACAGACATCTGTACACAATACAGCAGGACACACTCACACATGTACAGCAAGGGACTGGGTCTATTTTATGTGGTAAAAGATTAATCACTAACATGTTACTGGGTCGATGGATGACAATATTTAAGGTCAGAACTGGCGATTTATATTTGTAGATGATATTTCAGACGCAGGTAGCAGTCCAAAGCGTGGTAGGTTTTTTTAGAAGATAAAAAGTCTATATTTGATCATTCTTGATTACATGTACATGTATATACAGTTTGCTGCTGCTCCTGCTGTGCCATACTTCCATGTCTCATACACAGTGGTCATACCAATATGTGTCATACTCATGAATGAACTGTCACTTCATGCATACACATTTTCTTGTTTTTATCATCTGTTTATATTACTTCATTTATATCTGTAAATCTGGATACTGGTTCCCTTGATTGTGTTCGATCTGGCTATATACAAACATATTGACTAGTATTAAATCTTAGGAAATATATCATTCCTGATAGGCTTTAAATGGGATTATAACATCCCTGTACCTTTCATGCTCAGTCACAAACTTTATATAAGATATAATAACACATACTGCTGTAAGCTTTGCATCGACAAAACAGCTTCACTATATTACTATGAATGTTATTTTTTTGCCAGTCGTATTTCCTAATTTTTCTTAATTTTGGAATTTGGTAACTTCTATTTAACTTTATATTTTACACACATCTCTTCTAAAAGTTCCCGATCTATTGGAATGGTATACAGATTTTCAGAAACTAATTTTTAGTGTCTAGGTATGATTGGATAATTTCTACACTGGCAAAAATTATGAAGTACTATATTTATTTTGCTTTCAAAATCGTCAGTTTTCGTCTTTATTGTTTGACTCATCATGTTCAACTTTACTTAGTGTATAATCTATTGTCTCAGATGTCAAAGTTTGAACAGACATGTGTCTACAGGTTTTATTCTATATAATATATATAAGCAGTAATTCAACATTTTGGATTACCTATTTTTTTTTAAATTGAAGATATTTAATTGAGTATATTTAATGCTGATATGATTAATATCTGTTATACCCAGAATCGCTAGCAGAAAGACTACAACTGACAATGCAAACAAAGCTGTATATATGTAGACAGAAGGAATGCATTAAATACAGTTGTTTGTATCTTTATTTCCTCTTGATTGTATTTTGTTTGCTTTGTTGCGACTTGATGCTTATTATCCTGACTAAGTTTCTACTGATGTCGGTGTGCATGTTACTGTGAACCCAGATTATTTTTTGTTGAATATTGCATTAAATAATCAGATTCTGCAAGGACTGTCCTTTAAAGACAATCAGAAGAGTGACCGTACTGAAGAATCTTGCATAACACTACACATAATAGTTCATTTTGTAAACTAAAATAGCTATAAAGTTGTATACTTACTTGAGGTAGAGGTTATCAAGATCTTTGAGATGTTCATGTAAACGTTTGAGGTGTGTGGGGGGAAACACAAAAAAGTCAATAACATCTGAAAACTATTAAATCTGATACTAGTTATAATTATAAATGTAACCTGTGAGATGTTACATAGCTCATAGGTCACATATAAAGGGGACAGTTCAGTTTAAGGACCACCACAGTGCCATACATTGGTCATATCTACCAGCATGGGATTACCATATACTATACTTGTACAAATGCATATGAAATAATTTACAGAAAACTAATTGGTTTGATGTGGATTAATTTCAACAAAATGATAGGGAAATGTTAGAATAGGTAACACTTTATTTAATGTATTCCTGATAAATGACTATGCATCTACAGTAACATAAAAATGTACTTACCGGGGTATACTGTATTACCAGTCAAGCTTATTGCAATAATTATCAGCTACATCAAGTTAGAAATTTAATGTTACAAAGGAATTTTTTTTAAGGAGGGATATTGATATGAGTGTGTACATGTGTGTTACACATACAAGCTAGCACCAATAACGTGGTGAATATAAATCAGGTTTAGTATGCGAGACATGATGATCAAAGGTGGTAATTTGTTATCCAAAAAGTTGCTGTATGCTGTTGGACTCTGATGGGACATTAAAATATATTTTTATTATTTAAATAAGATGATGGGCGCTGGTTTGTATTGTTTTCTGAGTGATGTTCACCTGTTGACTGTCAGTGGTGATCCTGATTTTATGGCTAGCTATAGGGGATACTTAAAATGTGGACTGTTATTTGTGTGGTACCTCTCTGGTTCTTTAAAACAAATCACTGTCAGCTTAAAAAACTTTTTAAATCAATATGAGTTTTATAATAAACTATTGAATAATATACATGATTTAAAAATCATGTTCATTTCATGTGAGTTTTGAACATTATTACTTAATTATTTCCCTACATATATACATGCATTAATTAGTATCTTTTTAATATAATTATTTGGATATGAAAACTCAGAAGTTTGAAACAAACAAAAAATAATTTATTCTTCTGGGGTAAATTCTTTTTCACGACTTCGCCTTATTTTGTACAATATTTCAACAGAAAAAGTTCCTCTGATACTTGTATCAACATTGAACCTATCCAAAAAAAAATGTGCATATTAATAAGTCTTAACTTCTGTGTGGTATTCATGTATATATTTTTTATCAAAAACAATAATCACAGAACGAATCATTGATTTAGTATAATCAGTTTATCACAGAACGAATCATTGATTTAGTATAATCAGTTTATCCCAGCATAGTTTTCTTTTGTTACATCAATGGATGATTGTAAAACAATGCTATTTTCTCTCTCTATGTTCTGCCCATGGTAGGCCAAGGGCCAGGTAGTAGGGGTAAGTGTCACTTTATGCATGTTATGATTCCTAGGTATATGTTATCAGTTGTTTCAGCATTCGTCTCTACACTGCCAGTCAGGGTTTGGGCTTTATAAGGCAGTATTTGAATACACTTTACACTGCAGTCTGTGTCAACACGGTGCTTTGTAGTGAAGTTTGTACGTGTAGCTCCTCGCAATGATGACTTGTCATGTTTGTTGAATGTGTATGGTCATTGATTGGTTTCTTGTGTTGCCGAATCATTCCTTGTCATGTCCCCTTCACCCTGTGATTGTTTGTCAAGCTTATTTACTGTAGGGAAACTAAATAGGGTTCACTGGTGCCAAGTCTAACTCAAATCCTGCACTCTGTTGTCTTTCTGCTAAGATACAATATAGGTTTACTTTTTGATGACAGTTGCCTGAGCACAATTCAAGAACTCTTGGGCCTCTGTATGCTGTAATGAAACAATAAATTCCATTTGTTACTGTTACCCATCGCAACCCTTTAAAAACAGAGGAAACATTTTGATCACCTGTAAAACAAAGCGGAAAGACATGATATAATTTTTATTATCGGGTAGATTGTTACAGATATTGCTTTGTATTAGAGTGCTTTCTTGTGGCTAAATAGAAACACACAACTAGAATCCAGTCCAGCCTGTAATTGGTCATTTTATATGTGAACTAAAGAGTGTTCCCTGTATTAGACTTGAGAATTCATATATCATCTTACCTAACATTGTTAGACACTGTTGCCATACCCTGCTGGCTTGTATGTTTCTGTGTTCCAAGGTGGAATCATTGTTCATTGCAGTATGACTTACAGAAGTTAGAAATCTACTGGAATAACATGTAGGCATACATGTAAAGCTACAAATTCTCCTGAGCATATTACTGATAGGAGTTTAAAATTCCCATAGTAATTATCGCATGGTGGCCATTTTAAGATATGGCATAATATAGATAAACCTGTGTATAAAAAGTATGGCTTCGAAACAATTTCCTGGAGGTCTGACTTTGCAATTATTACTTATAACGAATGCCTTTGAAAGTTTCTTGAATATATCGGTATGGCATTTAAAATCACTTCACAGGAATTTGGTTTTAAAATAACTTTACGGCAGTACGCCTGTAAAGCGACTAAATGGAAGTGTTGCTTATAATTAGAGCAACATCCTCCTGATATTGTGAATGATTATAAGCTTTGACCAAGTCTTATGTAATTTAGATGCATGTAACGATATGGGTAAATGCTGAAGCATGCTTCCACAACTGTATGATGATAAAACAAGATAATTGTCTAACAAATGGAATACAGTTTGATACACACATGTATACCGACTCTGATACAATACGTATACATAATCTCTGTCTGGTACAGTCATGGCTTTGACCTCTGCGAAACATTAGGCAACTTTTTCTATTCTTGATTTTGCAGGCACTTTGTGCATCTTGTTCTTCATAGATTTGGCAGGCATATTGAATCTTCTGTCTTGTGCAGATTGGGCAGGTCAGGTGGACCATTTATTTTTTGAAGATTTGACAGTCTTATGGTACCTCATGCTCTTTGTAGATTTGGCAGGTCCATTGTACCTTTTGCTCAGTGTAGATATAGCAGGCCCATTGTGCCTCTTGTTCTGTATATATTTGGCAGGCCCATCTTATCCTAATTTGCTCTGTGTAGACAATAAGGCAGGCATTTTACCTCTTACTTACTCTTTGTTTAATATGATACAGTTGTGTGTTGTAAATGGTAAAAAAAGGTAGTTTTTTAGGTCACCTGAGACAAAGTCTCAAGTGACCTATTGCTATCGCCTTTTGTCCGTCGTCGTCCGTCGTCCGTCGTGCGTTCGTAAACAATTTACATTATCGACTTCTTCTCCAAAACCCCTGAACCAATTTCAATGAAATTTTGCAGGGACCTTCCATGGACAAAGGTCAACAAAAATAGTTGCCGGTTTAGTCCTAAGCCCCCAGGGGCCTGAGGGGTGGGGCCAAAAAGGGTCAAATTGACTA